CTAAATCAAGATCAGGGTTTGTATTCATGGAGTCCAGTGGATTTACCGAATCATTATGAGAAGCTTTGTCCTGATCAACCTGCTATCAATCCAACCTGCCGTCCCACAACCACACACAACCAACCTTAACAAAAAAATATCGTATTAATAAAGAGCAAACCAAGGTGTAGATTAAAATATTTTAATTATAACAATGTGACATAAATAAAAATAGTCACACCTGCTGTCTCCATACATAAAAAAAAGAAAAACCCACCAGTTTAAATATCTTAAGTACAAGAACTGGATAACTCAGACTGAGTACAGGAGCACAAGAACTGGATAACTCGGACTGAGTACAGGAGCATAAGAACTGGATAACTCGGACTGAGTATAGGAGCCAAAGAACTGGATAACTCGGACTGAGTACTTATTACAGTTACACTATTTAACTATGTCTTCTTTTCAAATATAAATTTCTAGCTAAATAAAAAAACATTATGTTAAAAAAATTATTTAAGTTAAGCCAACTCTAAGCTTTAAAATGTTTAAAAGAACTATTGTCCTCATTTCTAAAAAAATATGGTTACGTTTGAAAGGATCCATTAAAGGGAGAGACTGTCTAGACATGGTAGTTGAGCTGAAAGTGCAGTATTGTCGAGAAATGGTTTAGGATTTAATTAATATCAACGAGACATTTTGACAGTGTGCAATTTTATATAAGAGTGTAAAGTCGTTTGTATTATTTCACCAGTTTTCAGTCAGCATAAGAAACTTTTTTTACAATTCTTAAATAACATGGACAAAACATGTAAAAATAATATTGCTATTTAGGAATATATTTCTTTTAAAAAAATATTGATAGAAACCATAATAGAACCCTAGAATCAATTATTTAATTATCATCATTACCTTTGCTGTGCTATAATTTTATTCACAGATTTCTTCAAACTATTGTCTTCACAAATAAAATACAGAAAACCTCAAACAATTGCATAAGCCTGCAAGATTTTATAATGAATTTTAACAACTTAGTTTCAATGATATAAGTTCATTAGTTTTCTCAACCTGTTTGTGTACATGCAACTAGTTTGTAAAATAGTATTCAATGCATGTTTTGTTCACATCATTAAAAAATTGTATAAAACCGGTTCTTCTGCTGACTGAAACAATAGGTAAAATTTTACAAACAACTTTAAGCTCATGGTTAAAAATTGAAAATGTCTCATTGGTATGAAATGAATCTTAATCACAATTAACAAGAGGCTCTGCATGTTTCTTTCATAATGTTATTTTTAATATTTAATTTCATAGAAATATAAAACACAGTCAAGATTATCTATATTTTACATAAAACAACCATAATATGTGTAACTACATTCTATAAAAACCAATAGAAGTAAATATATTTTGTCCTTGTATTTTACTGAAAAGGTTCTCTAATTATTTAAATTAAGCTAATTCAAAAGTTTTTAAAGATTCAATAGAACTTTTGTCCCTATTCAAGAATGGAAATGGTGGCTATTGAAATTATTCATTAAAGTAAAGACATAGTTGCCCAACATATTATTCAGTTTATTATAAAAAAAAGCTTTTTCGAAAGACTTGACAGTAGTGGTAGTCAGTTGCAACAGCAAAGGATATATCATACATACTTATGCCTTTAACATAAAAACAGATCTGATAATGAAGGTTCAAGTTGGACCTGCTTCTCAAGATAAAGATTCTTTCTTCGCAACATTTATATGGTTTATAACTAAGATACTGATTGTCCCCGCTGGAAGAAACTGTACTGGAGAATATGAATTTAGATTTCTATCCTGGCGATATTTCTTCTGCTTTCTCTTGTGGTCATTTACCCCTTCAAGTCTGAATATTATCATCCTTGCCACTGAAGCTCCAGGCATCATGGCATATCTTAGAAATACATCAAATTTCAATGAAATTGTTGGGATTGTCTTTTATCAAATGTTCTACTTCCTGAACATCATACTGCTCTTGGCTACCCCTATCTGCATGGGATACTTAGTGGCTAAATGCAGTGATCTGAGAAAATGTGAAACACTTACATCCCGAAAAATGGAAATCATCTCCTTTACAATTGGTTTAATATCAGCAGTTGTTATGTTGGGACTGGAAGAAAATAATGTTACACAGACAGTATTTTTTTTTATTTCTTGTTGGATACAAGGTCTGCTAACTGTAATTGCAATGATTTTGTACAACACTCATGTTACAACATTTGTAAACTATTGCAAGCAGATTCAGAATTTAAGAATTGAAAGAAAGGGGTTTGTAATGAAGCAACTTCTAATCAAATATACTCAACTGAAAATTGGTTTAGGACCAATTTCAATGCTGTGGTATATATATACAGTTATAAACTTAGTTTCTTGGATGTATGGAGTTATTCAAGATCCAAACTTACCTTTTTTGATATTGTTGATCTCTTTTATAATCAAGATTTGGAATATATCTGCTTGTTGTCAAGAGGCTTATAAAGCACTTCAATCTGCTGGACAAGTTTTACGGTATGTAGATATATTTTCTACAGAATTTCACTAAACTGCAATTTTTCTAGAGATGCTGTTGATCTAACTACAGATGCAGACATCAAGGAGGAACTACGATGGAGTAAGATTATTTTAAACCTTTTCTTTACAACAAATATTCTTACCTATGAATTCAATTTGTGTGTGAAAAAGATTGTGTGATGTCTTCTAAATTCTTTTGTTATTTACCATTAATCTTAAGACGATATACAAGACCTTTTATTTTAGGATGGTCGATGGTTTGTGAAGAAACTGAAATCTCTGCCTTGGGATTCTTCTATGTCAGCAAGTCTTCAATGCTTGCTGCTTTCAGCACTATTCTTGGATATTTAATTATATTAGTACAGTTTTCACAATCAGATAATCCTAGTTATTTAGATATTGTTTCTGGAAATTTAACCAAGACCAAGAATTAGTTGTTAATTGCATACTTCTCACTTACACTCACAAAAAAGTTACTTTTGAAACTTTTAAATTCTAAATGTTGTAATTAATGTTATCTGTTTACTGAGAATAAAATCTAATAATAATAATCTAAATAGAATATTCCCTAATTCACATGAAATCTGTAAAAAGCATTTTAGAAAATTGTTCAATTCTAATTCTTTACTTAAAATTCTTTATAACAAATTTTTAATACAATACATATTATGGTTGTTTTATGTAAAATATAAATAATCTTTACTGTATGTATGTTTGTCTTTATATTTCAATCAAAATAAATATTAAAAATAACATTATCAAAGAAACAAACATGCAGAGCCTCTTGCAGCAGGGACCATCACACCATAGTAAGTAAATATTTCCATTTACTGCTATAGCGCCAATAGAAGGACTTATCTCTAAATGGATAATACGCTTGATAGAAAGATAGACGTTACTGCCATGCAATTTCTATTGGTTTAGAATAGACACCAAACACATGGCTGAAACCTGATTGGATTAGGCGCTAATGGACTCAGCATACTAGAGAGATCAGCATCTTAGATAAGAATTTTAGCAACAATGTATTGTAAGGTTGATTGTAAGGTTAATTGTAATTAGGATTCATTTCATACCAATGAGACATTTTCACGGTGTACAAGTTTTAACCACGAGCATAAAGTTTTTTGTAAAATTTTACCTATTTTTTCAGTCAGCAGAAGAAATGTTTTTTTACAATTTTTTAAATAATGTTGACAAAACATGTATTAAATACTATTTTCAAACTAGTTGCATGTACAAACAGGTTGAGAAAAAAAATGAACTTTTATCCTTGAAAATAAGTTATTAAAATTCATAGTAAAATCTCGCAGGTTTATGCAATTGTTGGAGGTTTTTCTTTAATTCCTAAATAGCAAATAAGTGTATCAAATAGTTTTTTTTACATGTTTTGTCCATGCTATTTAACCCTATTCCTGCTGGGGGGGTTTTGAAATGGCATGGTCAAGGGCTTTTCAAAAATGTATAATTTTTCATTTTTGGACAAATTTTTTTTTGCAAACATTTTTATTATATAACTGGATTTTGCGATAAAAAATGCAATTTTTGCAAATTTGCAAATTTTTTTGCAGATTCTAAAAGTAGAGCACAAAAGCTTTCTAATGATGTATCATTTGTCATATTTGGACATAAAACATGGGATTTAGAGGATTGACACCCCCCCCACAGCATATCCTTGTTTTCAAGTACCCCAGCAGAGATAGGGTTGAGAATTGTAAAAAAAAAGTTTCTTATGCTGACTGAAAAAGCTGGTGAAATAATACAAACAACTTTACGCTCTTATTTAAAAATTGTACACTGTTAAAACGTCTCATTGGTATCAATTAAATCCTAAACCATTTCTCGACAATACTGCACTTTCAGCTCAACTACAATGTCTAGACTGTCTCTCCCTTTAATGGATCCTTTCAAACATAACCATATTTTTTTTAGAAATGAGGACAATAGTTCTTTTATAAAATTACAAAGCTTAGAGTTGGCTTTACTTAAATAATTGGATCGCTTGATTTTAATGTAATGTTCTTTTATATTCATATTTAAAAAGAAGACAAATTTAAAGAGTCTAACACATATGTTATTGACATTTTTTGGATAAATAGACAATATTCAAAAGGAGCTTAAACCTTTACAGGCTCCATAGATGCCCAAAATGTCATTCTCTTTCCATCAAAAACCTGTTAACAATTACAATTTTTAAAACTCATTATTTGGTAAAATTCAGTGTGCAAATTAAGCCAAGCAGAGAATAACAAAAAAGAATGTTTAAGCCATGTTATTGTTAATATACATACTTTTCAACAGCTTTTAGGAAAATTATCAAGAAATATTATGGCATCAAAAAAGGCTTTCAGTCAGAATTGTGAGGATTCCAATTTAGACTGCCCAGACTGATTACAGAAAAGGCCAGTAGAGGGTTAAGAATTTTAATAATGTTCATAGGAATTGTTGTCTAAACAAAAAAATATGGCTCTAAAACCCAATGTAAACTGTGCATTGTACTAGGACCATATTTTGGAAATGTCAAATGTGATTGTGAAACAACATAATTTGTGTCGCATATTTGCTTATATATAGCCAGCTAGGCATACTTTAGATCCTTGTGGCCAAGATGCCTGCAATCCAGTTTTAACCAAGCCCATAAGAAAAATGAAATCTGGAATACACAATGAATTCGGTTTCAGTGGCTAATAACTGGTTCAGCAGTCTGTTTACAAACAATCTAATTGGGCCAATGTCAAAATATGGTTTCTATTTAAATATGGTGGGGGGCCATGCAAAGAAGGCAGTTAGAGAGGTGGGGGAGCTCAATTCTTTTTAACACATTCTATTTAAATAGATTGCCCTTGACTGTCTGTTTGTGTGTCCTTTTATTCCTTTTATTAAAATACTGGGCTCAATTTCATGTTTTGATTCAAGTCCAGTTTCAGATGCATTTATTGATAAACAATCATTATACATTAGTACAGCTTTAAGTACAAAATTCTCTCTTTGCCTTACCTTACCTTAGTTTTTACTCATATAATTCCTTTCATTCAAGGGACTGATCGAAGTGGGAACTGCCTGAAAGATCCTCTCAAAAGTATAAAAACTCTGAATGTTCCAATAACAAACCTGAAAACCTCACTAGTCTCAACTAAACTCCATCCTGCAGTTCCTCTTGTCTTGGAAATGATCTTACTGGGATTGTAATTGCTGGTTAATATCAACTTTAAATGACAAATTAGAACAGCCCCCTATCCTCATTCAAAGTCTTTTTACCGCCCGCCCCCCCTATAAAGAAAATAACCCTTTTCCATAATTTTATAAAGAAAGATTATATTCAATAGCAATCGATTAATTCCTTCCCTGTCTTTCTTTTCAAACATTGTATTATTACACCAGAAATTCTTATGCTTATAGAGTTCCATTCTTAGACTCTGTAATTTTATATACAGAAGTATTATATATTTTTGACTGTCCTTAATATTTGGAATAATGATGTTTTTGTTGTAAGTATTTACTTCTTATTTTTTAAACCTCTTAAAATATCTTAAAATTATACTTTTTTAGTTTTACTGTTTATTTTTTTGATAAAAAAAAGACTTGCAATGAATTTAAAAATTTTAGAGGAAAAAACATCCAACTAGATATTAGTTGGTATTATTCTTAATGCACTGTAAAATCAGCTGTTTGACCATTTGCTCTATTATCTTTTGCTCGTTTACAATTTGCTCTTTCTTGTTATTAGGGTTTCCAGTCAAAATTTTTGAACAAAAATTGTGCATGTACATACATAACTTTAAATTGAATGCTAAATTGATAATTAATACATAGTAAATGGGGTTAAGTCTACTGAAAAGGTGCTCCAATTATTTAAATTAAGTTAATTTAAAAGTTTTCAAATATTCAATAGAATTATTGTCCCTATTCAAGAATGGAAATGGTGGCTATTGAAATTATTCAATAAAATAAAGACATAGTAAAGGACAATATATATTAACTTCTATTGGTTTTTATAGGATATAGATGCACAAAAAAAATGTTAACAACTAAAACCTTTAACTCATCAAAAAACATTAACCCCATTAACTATGTTTTAATTTATAATTTATCATTCAATTTAAAATTATGTATGTCTAATGTCTATCATGAGAATTATTATTTACTATGTTTGCCCTGAAATGTTAAACAGAGAAGACAAAAAACTCAAAATGTGAAACTGACCAAGAATTCAATCTTGAAAGCCCTCTTGCTTGCCTTGCGAGTCCTCTTGCTTGCCTTGCGAGTGTTTATATATTCGAATATTTATAAAAATGAAAGGTTAACATCAATATATCTCAATCTATCAAATTTTGAGATATTTGGAAGAAAGTTTGTTTGAGAGTTTAGCAATATTTCTACCATTTACACCCCCAACTTTTAAATTAATCAATCTCTGAAAAAAGGTAGTGAAAATAGTTCACGAGGACAGACACAACTAATGAAATAATGTCCTTAACAAATTGAGACGGGGGGTGTATAAAACAATATATCGGCACATAAGATGCAAGCCTCATCAAGATTTAAAAAATATTTACCATATGTGTTTCAGATTTTCGATAATACATGCACAATGATCCTGACAATTAATGGTCTAAATTTTCACAAGGAGAACAATGGGAGGAAGGTATGTCTCACAATACACAAGATCAGTAATTTGATAACTAGCACATACATATAAAGTTATAATCTCTTTTTTGTTTGTTTCTCTGTTTTTCTTGTTTGATCATAACTCAGGAAACCCTAGACCGATTTGCCTCAAATTTTGATTGGGGAACTTGGTAGACACACGGGACTTTTCTTAAATTGGGTTTGAAATTCTAAGTTGAGTGAGTCGACTGTTATAGCAAAAATATGTTTCCCGGTAAATTTGTTCAAGTTTCCGTAAACGGCAGGAGTAACTATTAGTAACCTGGGCAGAGCTGGGTTCCCAAGCTTTATTTTTTTACATTTTATATATATATATATAATTATTTTGTTCATGCTGATGTAAAACTCAACACCATGAGCCTATCTTAGTATCATAGATGGGCTTGTAACTTACTATGAATTTTCATACATCTTAATGTTAATATCCTGTGTGATTATGTTATATGTATATAACTATTATATACATATATATAATATATATAACTAGGGATGAATCGATTTTAATTTTCTGGAAAACTAACATTACATAACAAATATTCTAATAAACATCTTCCATTTTGATTATATATGAACATGTTAATTCTCTAATTCATCTGGTCAGGTGGAGCCGATCGACATTCTCAAGGTTGTTAGGGATATATCCGGATCATCCTGGGATGTCAAACAAGGTTAGCCCCTTCCCCCTAAATACACCATTGTTCCAACTCTATCCTTCCTTGCAAAAAAATATTTTCTTTCGGGGGGGGGGGGGGATTTGTTAGGAAAATATGCACCCCTGCTTCCCCTGCTTTGTTGATTAACAGAGCATAAATAAATCTCTTCTTAGTTAGTTCTGAAGTTCTTAGATAACATATATTCAGCATATTTTATTTTAAAGGTTTTTTATTAATTAAAAAATAATTCATTTAAAAATGAGTACAATTATGTACAAGTAAATTTTCATGACCAAGGGTATTTTGACAACACCCCATGATATTTATGATTTTAATCAAATATCAACCTTATATAGGACTTTGTGTCCTATTCTGTTGTAGCTAGGCGAGTTAATTTTCTTTTGAATATGCCATTATTATTAACTTATACCTTGGTTTCCTCCGGTTTCTTTTGTGGGGGGGGGGAGGAATTTCAGACATTGGTGTATAATTTTACTCCCCCCCCTCCTCAGGGTTTTATTAGCTACATGATATTTAAGTAATCATGATGATGATGATAAAATTATTAGTATTAAGCTTCTTTTGAGCTTTCAAAATGAGGATATATTGTTTCTTGATCAAATAAAAGTTTGAAGGTTACCGTTGCGAATCAGGTCTTTTCTTTAAAGGGAGTGGTTGCGAAAAATTAAAGGGGTAATATCTGAATGATTTGTTTGGAATAAATTATTTTTTTTAAAGATCCTAATCGAATGTTGCAACTCTGAATTTCTTTTTTAACAAATTTTCACCTTGTAGACGCAACAGATAGAAGTAAGATAAGTAGCCATCAAAAGCACTTATTTTTCGCTTTAAGCCTGTACCCCCTTTTATTTTTCTTGAACACTCCATTTGAATAAGAGGTCCGTTGAAAATATTACTGTACTAACTTTAACGGCTTATTAGCGTAATTTTCAAGTAATCCTCTTTGCAAAGACATCAATTTAGTAATCACAAAGGTACCCTTTACACATTTATGTTTATCCCAAATGTGAAAGATATACTCGATTTTTTTGCTTAAAAGTGTTTACCTGTGAATGTTTACTTGTATTTCTTTTGTGAAATGCACAAGTCACTTAATGTGGACAAAAAAATGTAAATTGCAACATGAAAACCACCAGTTTTTTAACTACAGTTTCTTTTTATTAACAATTGAGTGAGAGGGGCGGGACAAAGCATGTGCTCCTGATTTTTACTGGGCGTCCTTCTCTACTTTCACAACTATTCTATTTCCCCTTCCATTCTTTTTTCTATTTAATGATTTGTTATCAATAAAATTATTAGATCCAGAGATGGAATTTATAGAATTTGAGCTGCGGTTTAAATCCGCCAAAACCCGGTTTAAATAAAGCGCCGGCTTAAATCTTGAAACATTTGATACAATTTTAAGTTAAACCAACCATATTTGAACCGCGGCTTAAATTTAAACTGCCACTCAAATTCTTTAAATTTGGCCACTGGTTCATCTACATTGCAGCAGATGTGAAAAGGAGGGGGGGTCGAAAGGGAAAGTATATAGGTAAGAATTAATTTACTATCAGTTTCTTGTGCATAGTAACAATTTTGATTTTTTTTTAACAATTATGTTAGCATGATCATAAATAAATAACACATTGGCCGATTTGCCTAAAATTTTGATTTTTCGTTTCAAAACTAGTATACTGTATAGTTATCTGACAAAGCTTGGTTTCAAACCCAATATGATATTAAGTTTATCATTTTCTAATTTCAAATTTTATGCAAATCGGTGCAGGGGTTTCTGAATTATGATCAAACATTTAAACAATTACAAACAGAGATTACAACTTTATATATATAGATAGCTTTTAAACTGAGCTTTGTCTTGAGTTTTGGCTAAACAAATCCACCCACTCAACTTAAAACTATGGACATTCCCGTGGTTCTACCGAGTTCCCAAATCAAAATATGAGCTTAATTGGTAAAGGGTTCCTGAGTAATGATCAACAAACAAACACTCGAGACTATTACTTTTTATAGATATATAAACTAGCCATGGAACCCAGTTCTGTCTGGAAAAGTCTACCTACTCAACTTAGTATTTTTAAACTAAATTGAGAACATTCCCGTTAACAAACAAACAAACAAACAGATATTACTATTTTACACATATAGATAGCTGGGGAACTCAGTTATGCCTTAAAAATCATTAATATAGATATTTATAGCTTGGAAAACAATCTTTGCCTCGAAACTAAAGTTTCTCTAGTCAACTTAATACTTAAAAGCCAACCTAAGAACATTCCCATGGTTCTACTGAGTTACCCAATCAAAATTCAAAAAAAAAATTTAATTTGGTAAAGGCAAAATGTGTATTTTTTTGCGTATTTCTTTGTGGATGGACAGGAAATTCAATAATTTTTTCACCCTTTGTGAATTTTTCAAAATTTCTTAAAGTTTCAGTTGGAACTCTGACCAAGCAATCTACAGATGAGAAGTATGAGAAGGATGAGAAAGATGAGGGAAAAGAGAAGGATGAGGAAAAGGAAAAAGATGAGGGAAAGGAGAAGGATGAGGAAAAGGAGAAGGATGAAGAAAAGGAGAAGGATGAAGAAAAGGAGAAGGATGAAGAAAAGGAGAAGGATTAAGAAAAGGAGAAGGATGAGGACAAGGAGAAGGATGAGGAAAAGGAGACTCCCCCTTCCAAAAAGAATATAACCCACTGAGTGACAGACGAGACAGACTAATGTATTAACCTTTTCATTATTTAATGAATCACATCTTTCATGTTGTAATATTTTCAGATTAAAATGAATCCAGATAATCCAGATATCACGCTGATATGTGCCATTTGCGATAAAACAGAATCAACAGCAAAGTAATTGTTCTTATTAATTATATGTTTCCATCATTTTAAGGTCATTTTCAAGTTCATGTTCAAAAAGTCCCATACTTCCATCATTCGTAAAACTCACCATTCTAAATAATATTTATCTCATTTCAGATTTTTAGAAGGGGTGTATTTTTTGTATTTTTTTTAAATTGGGGGAAATTGTTAAAATTTTATGCAAAAAGGATGAAAGAAACTTATATTTAACGTCCAATTTTGTATTTTTTCCCACCAGATCTTTACAAAACATTCCATCCCCCCCCCCGCGGACCAGGGTGGGGGGGGGGGATGGTATACTAAAAATATACACCTCTGTTTATTAACATATTTTTATTAATATGATTATATATTTTAAAAAATTTTGGTTGGGAAGGGGTGAAGCTTAGGGGAAAAATAAAAAGAAAAAGGGGAAATAATCTTTGAAACGCTTTACCCTTTTATGACTTTGATCGTAATTTCAAAGCTGACACTCGGTACCCTTGCAAGTTGGCTTCAGTAAAATTATGTTCTTATATAATCTAATACGCACAATGTACATGTTGTAGGATCAAGAAGATTTCTTCCTTTAAATGAGGTTTTTTGCAGACTGTTTTCAACTATGAAGAAAGCATAAAGCCAGGAAAGTTAACATAAGTGTTTACATAATAAGCAAAAATGGGATATTATTGAATAATTGACTTAATTCATCATTTGAGAATGAAATTCAATCTGACAAAGAACTTAACAGTTCTTTTTATTGCAGTCCATTTCAATATATTATAATTAATAACATTAAAATTAAGTATACTTAAGTGGCCTTATTTAGTTCAAAATGTCTTGCCAAAGCTCAAAGATGGAACCAGTGCTTTGATTCTTTTTTCAAAAACAATAAAAAAAGTGAAGAGAATATAATTGCCTTCAAAATGAAATTAAATGTTGTGCCTAAGCTTACCTCAACTCATCCCTTGCAAGGGTCAGTTCCAGACAAAATTGACTTATCTGATTCTCATCAAAATCCACCAGATCTTGGAGTAGACATGTTTGAAATTAATGTGCCTAAGAACATAACCTCAACTTCATTCAAAGGCAGAGGATACATTATTCTAATTAACAGGGAATGTTTTCTTTATCTGGATGAAAAAAAGGAAACATTGATCGTAAAAGACAACTTTTTAATACTTTTTTAGCAAAAATTTCATTCATTTGAATCTGAACCCAGCTAACATTAAATCTTCGCCAGCGTTGGTTTTCCGCCGTCGTAAATGCTATGGCAGGGGGTACACTGTACCGCTATAGTATATACTATATGTCCCGCCATAGTGCAACTGTCGCAGTTTCGATGGCGGGGAATTCTGAACCTCTGTAGTAGAAACAAAATTTTCCCCGCCATAGTATAATTGTCATATATACGACTTCGGAAATTCTGAACCGCTGTAGTATATACAAAATTTTTCCCCGCCATAGTACATCTGTCGTATATACGACTTCAGAAATTCTGAACCGCTGTAGTATATACAAAATTTTCCCCCGCCATAGTACATCTGTCGTATATACGATAAATACACCGCTGTAGTATAAATCCGACAGAGTAGACTAAATTAACGATTTCAGACATCGATGTCGTAAGGTTAAAATTCCGCTGTAGTAATAAATACGACATAGAAGACGCAAGTAACGATATCAGATATATTAACCGTTATTTCACGTACCGACCCGGCTTCTAGTAGTCCAGTAGTTGTCCATTCTCTCAAGGAGAAACATATTTAGAGACTTTAAAAATCTTAAGTGATATTCGTGTTAATTGTGTCATGTGTATTTTAACAAATTTTCTTGGTCATATTTGTATATATATGTATTGAGATATGTCTGGCCCAAAATGTCCAGACAAAATTTTTGAGGGAACCCATGGGTACCCTGGGGGCAACATAAATAAAATTCTATTTGTTTTCTTGTAAAATAGATTTTTTCCCCTAAAAATTTTAATTTTTTTGATGAGCAACGCCGATCACTTCAGCTAGCATATTATAAACTAAATTTTTATTAGGGAATAAGGGAATTTGCTGGACATATTTAAGGGAACCCATAGGCGCCCTGGGGGCAACATAGGCAAATAAAATTCTACATTTTCTCTTCAAAAATCGATTTTTTTCTTCTAAAATTTTTTTTCGACGGGCAACGTCGGCACTTCAGCTAGTATATTATAAAGTGGTAAACTGTTTGTTTGTCCAAATCAGAAACTCCTTGACCGATTTGCCTCAAATTTTTATTAGGGAACTCGGTAGAACCTTAAATACTGAATTGGAAGGGTTGTCTTTTTATAGAGAACTCCTGAGCTAGTTAACTATAGAGTTAATGATTTTTAGTAGGTGGCCTCTAAAGTAAGCTAGTTCTGAATTTGAATGCATGTTTTTTATTTAGATCCTAATCCGCCACAGATGTTAGCACCTGTTTCTGCGGCAGATGTGTTACCATATAGTTCTACAGCGGCAGATGTGTTACCATCTAGTTCTATGGCAGATGTGTTACCATCTAGTTCTACGGCAGATGTGTTACCATCTAGTTCTACGGCAGATTTGTTACCATCTAGTTCTATGGCAGATGTGTTGCCATCCAGTCCTCCGGCAGATCTGCCACCTGGTTCTCCGGGAGCGGTGTTCAACCTGGGATCACCAATAGTAGAGGATGATCCGATCGGTCCTCAAGGTAACTCATCTAGATTTTTTCAATGACAACCCCCCCTCGAACCCTTGGCCGGCTCAGTAAAATTGTAAAATTGTTAAATTGTAAAAAGGTCCTCTTACTTTTGAAAAGATATATGAAAGAATCTAATATAAATCTAGAATAATTTTATTTTATAAAAAACATGAATTTTGAGCTGGTTTTAATTTGAGTGCTAAAATTTTTGTTAAATCCTCCATTTTTCATAGAAATCTATTCCAAAATGAACTGAACATATTTTTTTGAAAAATAAGCACATTTTATAGAAACATTAATGATACAGAAAAAGTAAAAAGTAAAACATTTTTAAAAGGCCACCGACATCCTCCCCTGCTCCCCATATTAACTTAAAAAAAATAGGATATCTAGTGAATAGCAAGAAGTAGTTATACTATGTAGAGTAAGTTGAACTACTTCTCTTTCACTTGAAATTATCATTATAGAATTGATTGTAAATTGTTCAGATCCTGATGAACCAGTGGAAGTAAACCAACTTATCCAAGTGGGAACTCTTAAAGGAATCCTCCTCGACTTAAAAATCGGGGGGATTCAGTACAACATATCACGCATTGCGATAAGTAGTCTTCTGAAAATTATAAGAAAACATTTTGGTAATTTTCGTGACAGTTTTGCATTTGATCTTCCGATGGATAGCAGAACTATTTATAAAATTTCAGAAAATATTCTTGTTCAGCAGGTTTCCTGTCAGCAGTATATCTTTCTTGAACCTATAAGCATACTAAAAAAGTTATTTGCCGAATACCGGAAAAAGATTGGTCCAGTTCCAGAAATGCTTTGGCTAAGTTTAAACATTGATGGTGTATCCCCTTTTAAGAAAATCATGGTTTCTGGAGTATCCTTGCAAAAATCAAAGGATTAAGAGGAAACATTGTTTTTCCTCTAGCAATTTGCTACGGCAAAGGAAAACCTATAAGCCTAGAATTTATGAAAGAATCCATGCAAGCTTTACAAAGTTTATTTGATACAGGATTAGAGGGAACAACGTTCTATCCAAAATTAATATGTTGCGATCTTCCTGCAAAAGCTTATGTTAAAATTACTAAGTGTTTTAACGCAAAGTTGAGCTAGGAGATTGGTGCCCAATTAGCCATACAACACTTTTTAAAACACCTGTAAACCCCCTCAGAATGCCCAAATTAAGAACAAATGAAGAATTTAGAAGAAATGCTGCCAATAACCAAAAAGATCTTCCTCGGTCACCCCTCTGACTATTTTACGTAATATAGATTTAGTTAAAGACGTAAATGTAGATGTAATGCATGGGGCATTTATTGGTGTTGTTAAAACGATTATAAGTATCTGGGTTATTGGTAATAATGTATTCCCTACGTTTCCTGAAGCGTTACTGCAAAATATTAACTCAAAAATCGATATCTTCAATAAATATGTTGTAAATAAGTGCTTTGACCATAAACCCGAATACATAACTGATTATAAGAACTTTAAAGGAGATGATTTTAGAATCTTCCTATTATATGCTGCACCCTTTGTACTCCAAGACATTCCACCAGATCAATTTAACAGTTTTATGTGCCTTCATCAGGGAATTTCTCTTCTTGAAAATCAAACCTACATTGATAGATATTCAGAATACGCTCACAAACTTCTTCAGTCTTTTCTAATTCAGAGTGAATATATGTATGGGGCTTCAATTTTAACTTATAATTTTCATGGAATTTTGCACTATGCAGAGGATGCCGTCAGACATGGTACACTAATAGCCAATGGAGCCTTTTGTTTTGAATCCTTTAATGCAAAGTTCTGCAGATTTATCAAATCACGAACTTATCCCCTTACAGAGTTTGCTAAAAGATATTACGAAACCATAAATGTCTCCTTCTTCTGTTTCAGTCCAATACGGGTTATAATTAAACTTTTGTAATTGAAAGGAATTTAATTGAAATTATTGACAATGGAGATGATGACATTGTTCAATGTAAGGTTTATTTACAAGCTAAGGATGTATATAATAGCTATTGCAACTCACTCCTTCTCTCTATCATGCAATTTGAAAAAAACAATTTCAGAATTGTAGGGTTAAATAAAAATAGGTTGAGTAAGCAATGCTTAAAAATAGATTATCAAAACATTGTAACATGTATACCTTTGCTTCACACAATGTAGATGATTCTCTTTCCTTAAACCTGTTCAATATTTTAACACACGAAATGTAAATTAAAATCTTCTTTAATTATATTATTTATATATTTTGTATTTGTTTGCTTTACGAAATGTAGCTGGTCCTATTTCCTTATACCAATATTGTTAAATATTTTAACATGTGATTGATACTATATGTCCATTAAAATCTTTTTCAATTAGCTTTTTCAATGTTACTACTTTTAAACCAGTTACAATTATGTCGTATTCTATGTTATGCTCGTTTAAGGGCAAATTAAATGTTATTGATACCATTTTTGTTCAATATTTTAATATTTTATGTAAATTAAATTTAAATTCTCAACTAGATAAATCTTTAAATCTCTCCTCTAAACTCTCTTTTATGTAAATTAATAAATTGTCAACTATGTGATAAATCTTTAAATCTCTCCTCTAAACTCTCTGGCATATATGTTAATATTCAGTATTCATGTTTCAGATGACAGAGCCGGTAAAGACGGTAAAACGACCTGTCCGACCTGTCTCGAAGCCTGCAAGATTCGACAGCTATTGTTTGACTGAGGAAGAGGAATATAGACTGAATTTCCCCCAACCACCCCGGGCACCATACTTAGATGAAGGAGGTAAATTTTAAATTTGGTATTCATTCAGTTGACACTAGTCGTTCATTCATAACTTTCAGCAAGATTCTATATAATTTTTTGAAATTAATTGTTCAAAAAACAGCCTCCTTATTAATATCAAGGGGTGTGAGGAACTGATTTTTGATGAACTAAGGGGGGGGGGAGGAAATGAAATTGGCGATCAAAAGGCAATTTTTTTATACATTTTCATACTTCACCCAAAACTTCAATGATTTCCTTATAAATGTTCCAATTTAGCGAAAACAAACCCGAAAAAAATGATTTTCAAAAAAATGTTAATTTATTAGAGTAACAGTTAAAAAATTTCCCAGCAAATCTGTCTTCATTTAATCGTTTAATAATCTAGGAGAGTTCGAAAGACAAGTTATGTTGGAGACCATGAACAGATATGGTGGACAGAAGAAAGATGTGGAGAAGGATAAAAATCCAAAGAAAGATCAGGTAAGAATTTTAAAATATTTAAATTTAGATGCACAATTCTCTGTTCTTGTCTTAAGGGTCTGCAAGCAAAATTTCAAGTGCCCCTTCATTTAAAAATAGAAGATTTACACTGGTAACCTTGAAACAGTAATGTGTTCAAGTGTTTAATTCTGATAATTTCTCCATTACTTCTGAAGCAAGAAATGCACAATTTGTGTTAAAAAGTTAAAAGTGTTAAAAGTGTTTAAAGAGGAAACTGATTATATTATTTTAACTGTTTTCACTGTACCTTAGTTTACTACATGTTGAGAAATTCAACCAGTGCAGTGTTGGATGTTAAATAATTTGCGTTTTTTTAATTAGGTATCCTATGCTGAATACAATGGTTCTGGATCTTTTGGTACATTTTCAAATCCTAAAGATGTGATGTACAGTTCCGGACTGACTCCTGGAGATCCATATTCGTTCAGTGCTGGCCATACTCCAACTCCAGATCCATATTTGTATAGTGCTGGCCATACTCCAGATCCTACTGCTTTCAGAGCTGTTCAGACTCCACCTGCTGCCTTCGGAGCTGTTCAGACTGATCAGACTGAGTTTGGAGCCGGCAAGATTCCAGATCATACTGCGATCGGAGCTGTTCAGACTTCAAATCCTACTCCAGATCAGACTGCAATTAGATATACTGCAGGATTTTCTGCCACTTCTTCTACTCCACCAACTGCCTTCGGAGCTGTTCAGACTGGTCAGACTGCGTTCGGAGCCAGTAAGATTCCAGATTATACTGCGCTTGGAGATGTTCAGACTAAAAATCCTACTCCAGATCAGACTGCAATCAGATATACTGCAGGATTTTCTGCCACTTCTTTCACTCCACCAACTGCCTTCCGAGCTGTTCAGACTGGTCAGACTGCGTTCGGAGCCAGTAAGATTCCAGATTATACTTCACTCGGAGATTTTCAGACTAAAAATCCTACTCCAGATCAGACTGCAATCAGATATACTGCAGGATTTTCTTCCACTTCTTCTACTCCTCCTCAAGCGCCTGGATTTTCATGGTTGGAATTCATTGAAATCAAGTTTCAAGAACTTACAGGTCTAGTGGAAAGCAAGTTTGAGGAGCTTTCTAATAAGATTGAAGATGTAAGAAGAGGAGAGGAGAGGAAGGAAAATGATGAAGCCGAAGGTAATACTGATTTAATTAAAGCAGGGGTGTTTATTTTATCAAACTCAGTTTCCCCCCCCCCACTCTTTAAAAAGAAACAAATTTCTCTTCCCCCCCCCCCCTCCCACTCTTAACAAAGAAACTAATTTCTCCAGAGAGGGAGAAAGGAAAAGAAGGTGAAGTTAGGAGGGGGGAAGGAATAGAACATTTTAAATAAATATTCTTAATTTTGTTCAATCATGTACTTTTTAGATAACAACTCAGACGACCCTAGGAGCAAGTTACTGAATGCCGAAATGATTAAGACCAGAGATGATGTTCTTGAATTGGAACAATTCTGTGCGGTAAGTAACAATTGATTTTGTTTTAAATGTAAAACTTGAAGATAATGTTGGCTCATCATCTAATGGCATTCTGTTTGATGTATTCAGTCAAATTCTTTCCTCGTCTCTTGCAGCACATATTTGCTTGTTATTTTTATGTACAATCGAGCAAATAACTTTTTAAATAAAGGGTCTTAACAAAATTGAGTTTAATAGAGAAATTAACCCTTTTTATTATTTAAATATTATTTTATTTTGCAGACAAGGTCTGGGGCAGCTCAGATTGAGACGTTGATGGCTAGATTCAGCAAGGGGTATTCGTTTCTCCTCTTCTTGGGAAATTATGATCCCTACGTATCCTTCTCTGCCGTGGTAAATATATTTTTTAAATTTATATTCTTCCTTTCTTTCCCGACCTTATTCTTTCTTGGCTTTTCTTATCTTACTATATCCTTTCTTCTGCGACTTAATCCTTTCATATACTTCTATGTATTTTCTTATCCTTTATAATTCCTTCATATCCTTGCTTATGCAACTTTATTCTTTCTTATCTCTTCTTATACTTTTTTAACCAACCTTTTCCTTTCTTATCTGACCTAATTCTGTCTTTACCGACCTTTTCGTTTCTTATCCGACTTTCTCCATTTTTATTCCTTCTTACCCTTTCTTATCTTTATATTTTTATGTATTTTCTTAATTTTTCTTTAACTTTCTTATCCGACATTATCTTTTCTTATTCCTTCTTATTCTTTCTTATCCTTTCTAATTCCTTCATATCCTTTCTTATCCGACTTTATTCTTTTTTTTCTCCTCTTATACTTTCTTATCCGACCTTTTCCTTTCTTATCTGACCTTATTCTTTCTTATCCAACCTTTTCCTTTCCCATCCGGCCTTATCCTTCCTTATTCCTTCTTATCCTTGTTTATTTTAACATGTCCTTTCTTATCCTTAAATTTTTATGTATTTTCTTATTTTTACTTATCAGACCTTATCGTTTTGTATTCCTCCATATCCTTTCTATCCGACTTTATTCTTTCTTATCTCTTCTTATACTTTCATATCCAACCTTTTCCTTTCTTATCTTAGCATATACGTTTACTTATACTTTTTATACTTTCTTATACTTTCTTACCTGACCTTGTGCTCTCTGATTCTTTATCTTACAATCAAAATTTAACATTGATTCGTTTTTTCTTACAAGACCTTTAAAGAATCCTGCCCGCAGCTTGTAGCTGCTATGCTTCGAGTGTACGAAGGAAATAACGAGGCCGGAAGGAGTGCGGTCAGGAGGGGTTGGTCGGAAGTGTTCCACAGGTATTTTTATTAGTTAATAGATAGATAGATAGATAGATAGATAGATAGATAGATAGATAGATAGATAGATAGATAGATAGATAGATAGATAGATAGATAGATAGATAGATATTTAACTAAATATTTAATCATATTAAAATAAAGTTCAAATATACCTCATTTTTGGAATTAAAGTTCAAATTTTTATCAATGATTATTTTGAGTTTAATAATTTACGAATGAACATTCATTATTTAATCTCTTAATTCTGCTGACTTTAGTGTAAATGTACGTTTGTTCAATCAGACAATAGTGCAAATTGCACATTTGTTCTGAAACTAATTTTAAGTTTTTTAGGTCAAAGAGTCATGTGAAGGACAGACTTCAGAAAGCGGAGGCAAGGAAGAGAAAAAAGGAAACCACAACTGAAACCGAAACCGATGAAACCGACGAAGCCGACACTGGAATGGACATTCATGGGATGGAAGTTTTTTACTTTGATTTTTATTTTTTTTCAAACTATAATTCATTTAGAGTAAAAGTTCTTTAACATTTATGGCAAATTTCTTTATTTCATTGGTGGTGTTTATTAATTAAGGTGAACACATTTAAATTTCAAGATATCAATGGTTTCCAATCTTTTCTTGATCAATTTTATATCTTTTCCTAAAACTTTGAAATTTTAATTTTTTGAGCAATGACGTAATTACAGGTGACCTTTTATTTATAGGCATGTCCGAATTAAAACTATCAAACCTTTTTCTGATCAAGGATATCTAATTCACATAGCGGGATATTAAGTGCCCAGGAAATCACTGGCAATAGCAATAGTGTACTGTAACCTCAGCCATGCCCCTCTAAAACTGGCGAGTCTAAAAAAAATATGTTCACAGAGCTGGGAACTTTAGAATGTGATATCCTTAATCCAGATCGGTTGATTAATCTGGAGATTAATAACAAGGGGGGTACAAGCATTATTTAATCTGGAGATTAAGAAAAAGAGGAAATTAAGCATTAATCCCGATGTTCACCATTCAAAAGTTCCAGCTCAGTTTTACACACAATTCATCAGAGCTGTGATCTTTTGTGTCAGATACTAAAAATCCCAATTGTTTGATCTTGATATCCGCGGTGGAAGGTTTGATTTTAGGTTCAATGCTTTATATTTTGATATTACTTATCCCTTCAGGATACATTTACACTGAGACTATTGAATTGATCTCGATATCCACAATACAAGAGCTACCAGCTTAGGAAACATATTTCTTAATTATAAGTAAAAATTCATCTCCCAGAACTAAAATTATGACATTATGTTAAGAAAATTATATTGTGTTATTGTGATATTTTTGTAAACACGCAGTTTAACTGTAGCTCATCTATTTACTGAACACACAGTTCACTATTATTAAATACGCAGTTAACCTGTTGGCTGTTGTAAAATTATGAAAGTTATTGTGAAAACAGATTTTTTATTTTAAAGTTCAAAATACACTTTGTTACATTTACCTTTAATTCATTTTATAGGCAGTGGGCAGTATGCAGGGGCGTTCACAGCATCCTTCTGCCTTCCTCAGGGGTAAATATAGGATTTTTAAGCTTAACTTAACATCACTAATTTTCAGAATTATTCAGCCCCTGGCTTTGCCCCCCCCCCCCCCCCAATAAAAAATCCTATTTTTGCCCCTGAGTATGGTAGGAGTACGCGATAATTTGGTGAGAAAGTCTACGATGTAGTATGTCAAATTCGGTGACATTTTATCCGATATAGTATACTCCTGAGAGGTCTGACAATTCGGTGAGAAAGTCTACGATGTAGTATGTTGAATTCGGTGACATTTTTGCCGATATAGTATATTGATATCTGTGTATACCTCTCCGATATCGAATGTAGATTTTGGTGAAGAAGTCTTCGCTGTAGTATATACTCCAAAGCACCGATGTCGAAGTGTAGATTTTGGAGTTCATTTGTGCGCTGTTGCATGTACGATTTTGTATATACGACAGATCTGGGTGTGATCCTTTTACTATACCGCCAAGACCGACATCGAACCAGGTGATCGGAGCTCCGCCCAACTCCAGCGAAGCTTGTCGTAGAAAAAGGCGGTATAACCGCCGTCGGTCTTTAAGTTAGCTGGGAAAGTATCTCAAATTTTGAATAAAAACCTTCAAAACTATTTCCGAAAAGTGTGTGAGAGAAAAAATTATTTTTCAAGGAAATATACACCCCTCTTAAAGTCTTGCATCCATTGTATCCATTATACAAATGCATTTTATTTACATGTACCATGCTGTTCAGACCCTTCAGATATCGAAACTATTGTGTCATCATTGCGGTAAAACATTTTTGAGAGACGGAACGTTTAAACTGTACATCCGAATGCACAACTTTACGGAAGGAAAGCTAGTGTCAGGTAAAATTTTTTAGGCCTGCCGTTGCCCGTAGAAAAAAATGTTGAAACGAACATTTTAATTTTTATCTATGATACTTCCAGGCTACCCATTAGTGGCAACCAAAACAAATTAGCCCATTCGGTCCAATCGTTTGGCCGGCCACATAAAACATATATCTTGTATTAATTAGATAGATTAACAAATTTTGCATTTCGTATTAAAGTATCAGGGGTATTTGTTGCTTGGAATTACCATAGTGGGTTAAATCATGTGGTGAGGGTGGGGGGGAATTATGAAAATGTATTGAGAAAATACAATGTGTTTTGCTGTTTATTCAGAAATATGTAATTTCAGGAACAGATTATCTAAGAAGGTAAAGAAGAAATCAGGAAGAGATTATCATAGACAGAGATGTGCAGATGGAGGTTATGATGGATCTGATTATGAGGTCGTTTTCTTTGACTGCTATTCATTTATTCTAACCTTAATGAACACTTTAGAAGTACATTTATTGCTTCTATATACACAAAGATGACACATTATGATTTCCGGATTTTTTTTATCATCTTTCGGGGATTTCAACATATGGGTTTCTCCTGCATTTCTGTTGTATATATTACAATAGTTTGTATGTCACTAAAACACCCTTTCCAAGGTTTTTGGATGATCAAATTTTCAAAATTTGTCTTCAAAATTTGTAAACATCCGCTCATCAATGTTTATATGTTGTAATATCTGAATGATTTGTTTAGAATTAAATTGATTTCTTTACAATCCGAGGGGAATGTTGTAACTTTTTGAATTTGTACGTTGTTTGGTATGAGACGTTTTTAACAATTTTCTGTTTGTAAAGGCATTGGATAGAAGTAAGATTAGTAACGATCACCATCGATAATTATTGCATTTTTTGTGAACACTCCCTTTAATATGATTGAAGTTCATTGCTTAGAATCTGCATTTGATTACATCAAGGACAACATTTGAGTCATGTTTTAGTTAAAAAACTAAATTTTACTGGAGAGCCCGTGTAATGTTTTCTTGGCAAGTTGAAGCCTTTCTTTGATACCGTGCACTACAGACTCTTGAGATTGACAACTGTGAGTTAGCCAAGAAATACCGTGGATCAGCATTCCTTTGCGGATTTGTAAGATTGTTTTTTACGGTCTTGCGAAGCAAAGGTGTCAGTGCCGTTGTACGGACAAAGGTCCTTGGTTTCCTAATCATCACTCTCTATTGTAAGATGAATCATGACGTCTTCTATCCCTGGCATGGCGAACACATTCTGGGTATTCATCGTCACACCATCGAGGTACAGGATTAAATCAGTATTGTGTGGGTGCGTGTTTGTGTGTGTAATTGAATGTATCTTGCCTTTTAATTTTGTTCTCCACATCTTCAAACATCACCCACATGCAATTCTTAAAATGTTTACCCCTGTATTTTTTTGGGGAAAAGGAATTTTCTAACTTTATTCATTGATGAAAACCTTGTAAAATTTTAATGTTTGCCATGGGGGGGGGGGCCTTTAATGGAATATTCTGATCTATCAAATACTATTTATTTAAAAATGTTCGGGGTGTTCTTGTAAATTTATGGAGCTGTCTCATGATTGACCAAATGTTCCCCGGGGCAACCAACTCCAGGAGTATATTAACCTCTCAATACTGTGAATACTCTTTTTCGACTGGTAGTGTGATAATGAATACAGTGCCAATGGTGAAATGCTGCTTGTGTGACAAAATGTTCCGGTAAAATTCTTTATTCACTGTATTTATTTGTATATCCTTCTAACTCAGCCCCCATCCTGACTATCTTATATTCTATATCAAAAATTCAGGTTTTTTTCCAGTTGCATTTGAGAAAATAATGATTTTAGAGTAAAAAAGAAATTTTTTGGATTAACAGAACTAAAATATGAAAGAACTTAAGTTTTAATGTNAAAAAAAGGTCCCCCCCCTCGAATGTTTACACTTCCTTAAGTTAAACAGCTCATAAGACTTTGTTTTGAACACAGGGTCATTCACAAAAAATTGGAATTCAAATATCATCTGTTATCTCTTAATTTCCATGTTTATTTAAGCCTGTATTCTGTTTTTGCCCAAATATTTCTAGGAAAGAATGCACATGTATAATGATTTATTTTATATATTAATGAAAAGTCATAGCCTTTCCCTCCCAGGGGAAGAGGACAAAAAATAAAAATAGTTTTACTTGTTATTTTCAGACACCTACACTAAGAAACGACACGTAAAATCATGCTATCCTCTCAAACCCTACCAGAAATTCAGAACCTGCAGTATTTGTTTAATATGTATTATATTCAAGAATATGCATAGACACATGCAAAGAAAATACTGTAAGAAAAGATTTCGTGAACAGATAATGCTCCCTAAAAAGAGGGAGTATGGGTTTTTCTAAAGGTTTTCAGTAAATGAAATGTGTGTGAAAATGAGGGAAGTACTATTGTTAATGAGATTTACTTTTCATACGTTTTTAATTTTAAGTCAGAAAAGCTGTTTTAAATATTCAGTTCATATACATCAAATTTATATTAATAGAGTTTTCAGAATACAATGAAACATCAAAAATGTTTCAGCAAAAGTTTTAAGTAAATGTTCACGAATCTTTTTCTGCAGAATTCAACATTATTCATCATTTTTTTTCATTTGAAAAATAAGAAATTTTTGTAATGATATAATTTTGTTTATAAAGAATGAATTTATTACTATATTTTTTTCTTAAATATGTTTATAAAGAATGAATTTAATACTATATTTTTGTCTTAAATAAAATATATTTTTCAATCTTTTATTTAACATGAATTAACAAAGTCTTTAAAAGTCAATCATGATTTTGGTTCAATTGATATGTACCTGGTTACTCTCAAAGGATGCGACTTTAAAGACAACTTGAAACCTTTAAGATATGATGATTCCAAGGTTAAATTATGTCCTCTGTCTTAAATTTTTGTTTTTTAATGGTTTATTTTATAATTTGATCAAGAAAGAGACAAGTTTACAGTTAAAGAGAATCATAAATAAAAGTGAACAGTACATATACATTTCGTTTCGTCGTCTTTGAGGTAGCATCCTTTGTAGGTAGCTCTGTACATTACTAGTGTTTTCAGAAGGTACAATTAACACTTTCAGCAATTGCCTGGAGTAACTGTAACCCTAATTTCCAGGGACCCTTGATCGACAGGGTGGCTTGTCTGATTCACAAAAGTACCCTTATTTTTAAAAGCGTGTATAATAAAGTATGATTTGATGTGCTTGTTTTCTTTTTGAAATAAAAAATTTCATTTGGCGCTTCTCTGCAAGGATTTCAAGTATCTAATTTCAATGCAGCACTTCACTGATTATTTCATACATAGTTAATTCGTTATTTCATAGAGATCAATTTTTAGTCTCAGTGCTGGTCCAAATATATTAAATTGGACTGAAAAATTTATTTTAAAAATTTGAGGAATTAGTCATATAAATAAAAATTGATATACAGAGGGGGGGGGGGTGCGAAAAAACNTTATTGGACAGATCCCCATTAATTTGCATTTTTATGATAAAATGTAATGCAAAGTAATCGAGAGTTAATAAAATCTTCAAATCATGATGCCTTCACAAATATTAGATAAGTCGTCTATAAAGGTCGTTTTTTACTCATTCCATCTTAATGTAAACTTTTACAGAAAAACAACTCCAGATCAATTGAATGAATTAACATGTCAAAATTGTTGATTAAAGGGTTCTTTAAACTATGATGGAGTCTACTATGAAGAAATATATTTTGATATTTGATTGGTTAAGCCAATAAATTTAAACAAAAAATAAAAACAACAAGCGGAGACCAAATTGCAGGGCATGGAGACCAAATGGCGGGAGGCTTGGTGACGTCACTGAGGCTGGGAGACCAGTTTTGCGGGGATCATGGTGCCTCTGCCTTTAAACAGAAAGACAGGGAAAGAATTAATCGATTGTTATAGAATATATTCTTTCTTTATAAAATTATGGAAAAGGGTTATTATCTTGAAAGGGGGGGGGTGGTAATTAGACTTTAAATGAGGATAGGTGGCTTTTCAGGCCCGTAAACAGGATTTTTCCAAGGG